ACCCCAAACCACCCTAAACCACGAAACCACCCTAAACCCAAACTCCCCCCCACACCCCCACACACACACACACACACACCCACACCCACACACACACACACACACACACACACACACACACACACACACACACACACACACACACACACACACACACACCCACACACCCACACACCCACACACCCACACACCCACACACCCCCACACCCGCACACCCGCACACCCGCACACCCGCACGCGCACGCGCACGCGCACGCACACCCACACCCACACCCACACCCACACACACACACACACACACACACACACACGCACGCACGCACGCACGCACGCACGCACGCACGCACGCACGCACGCACGCACGCATGCACGCGGTCTCTTGGCTTCCCCTTCTGAAGTCCATATGAGTTTCTTGCATGCTAAAGAGAAAGACAAGAAGACAATCGAGAAGAGGAGCTTACATGTCTTCCTACCTTGCTCTTTCCTCATCGCTCCCCCTCCTCTCTGCTCGCTCGCTCGCTCTCTCCCCCTCTCTCCCTCTCTCTCTCTCTCTCTCTCTCTTTCTCTCTTTATCTCTTCTTTTCTTTTATGGGCGGTATGTCTGGTATCTCGGCCTGGGGAATCTCTTGACGAAGTGCACGGAGAGAAAACGAAAGCTCTGAAGTATAATAACGGACATGTAAAGTAAAGGTATATGCAAATTATTTTATAACCAAGAGCAAAAGCCAAATGGGACATAAGTATGTATATATATATATATATGTACCGGTTTAAGTATGGGATAAAGATAAACAGAGCACGCACGCACGCACGCACGCACGCACGCACGCACGCACGCACGCACGCACGCACGCACGCACGCACGCACGCACGCACGCACGCACGCACGCACGCACGCACGCACGCCCGCCCCCTCACCCCAGGAGAAAGTCCCAGCACCCAAGAATCAGAAGCAAGTACTGATCCCCCCCCCTCCCCCGACATCCCCAAACCCTCAACCCCAAAGTCAGAACGAAGCACGGCGACTGTGGGCTCCCAATTTCAGGGTTCGGGGTTTAGGGTGCGTGTAGATTTAGGGTTTAGGTTTGGGGTGCGCGTAGGTTTAGGGTTTAGGGTTTAGGGTTTAGGGTTTAGGGTTCAGGGTTCAGGGTTTAGGGTTTAAGTTTAGGGTTTAGGGCGCGCAAAGATTTTAGGGTTCGGGGGCTTTGGGATGCTGATGGCTCGGACCCCTTAGGCCCTCTGGGCTAAGGAGTTCAGGGTTTAGGGTTTAGGGCTTCAGGTTTTTAGGGCCCAAAAAACTAAACCCTAAACCCGAAACCCTAAACCTTTAGGGTTTTCTTTTCGGGTTTTGGGGTTGAGGGTTTGGGGTGGGTAGTCGGGTGGCAGGATGAAGCCTGAGTCTTAAAGCCTAAACCCTAAAACCCTGACCCCTACCTGGAGGTTCAGGGTTTAGGGTTTAGGGTTTAGGGTTTAGGGTTTAGGGTTTAGGGTTTAGGGTTTAGGGTACTTGGAGGTTCATGGTACTTATTAACCAAGTATATTGCACTTATAACTCACTCATAAGCCCCTTAAGTGTCCCATTTTTGTTATAAGTACAGTTATAAGTTATAAGTACAGTTATAATTGGTTAATAAGTACCATGAACCCTAAGACTGTGGGCACACGACCTTTCGAAACCCTGTGCCGGGCCACGGATTTCTTTGCCTGCAGAGAGCGATACAAAAAGAAGAAGCCGCCTGCCTGGGGAGGGCTGGGTCCTATAACTTTAGCTGGTATGAGAACATGAGAACCCTTAGATGTGTACCCTATCCACTAAGACCCCAAAACCCTAAACCCGCAAAACCCCTAAACCCTAAACCCTAAACCCTAAACCCTAAACCCTAAACCCTAAACCCCTAAACCCCTAAACCCCTAAACCCCTAAACCCCTAAACCCCTAAACCCTAAACCCTAAACTTTAGGGTTTTAGGGCCAAAGGATCTGACAGATCTCGGCCCTTGTTGCACCCCGCGTGCTGCAGTTCGGGAGGAGTGGAAATGGTGGAGACCCCAATTCCCCGCCGCTGAGCAGCATGTTTAAAGGGATCCTAATCGGAACCCCCAAACAGGGAGCCGCAAGAAGACAGTAGGAAGACAGAGGGAATACAAGGACCCCGGTAGGTACGTTCCTAATATTATAATAAAAAAATCCCTTCAATAGTATACGTAGTAGGAATGTGATTACAGGGAATATCAGGACCCTGATAGGTATATTCCTACTGTTTATCCCTTTTTAATGTTTTGATGTTTTCTTCAAGCCCTCAACCCTAAACATTCGGGCGAATCAGCAGACACGACAATCAGGCTCCTCGGAGCTTCCTTCGGTTTCCGTAAACCCTAAACCCAAAATCCTAAACCCTAAGCCCTAAACCCTAAAACCCTGATCCCAAAAAATCACGTAAAGCCCTCAACCCCTAAAATCTTCAACCCTAGACCCTAGAGCTAGAACCTAAAACCCGTCTAGACCCTGTGGAAGCCTTGGGTTGGACCTCAACCCCTACGTAAAGCCTTAACCTTGATGCTCACGAAACGTGTAGGTTTTAGGAGGTTGCCCTAGTGGTGCAGTTCGTGTGGGGCCATGGTCCGCCGGCCCCCGCAGCCGGCATCGCGTGCCAGGCGGTCTTCAGGGGTTTAGGGTTTCGGGTTAGGGTTTAGGGCCATGTACCCCTAAACCCTAAACCCTATAAACCCTAAACCCTAAACACTATAAACGGTGCACACTCTACGGGTGTGGTCTCGGGGTCTCTCAGGTAGCTGAAAGGGTGCCCAGGGTGGGGTTTCAAGGCGGATGCAAGAAAGTCTACAGTCAAACTTGCACCCTAAACCCCTACTGGATCTAGTACACCCTATAGACCTTAAACTCTAAACTGCTTACCCTAGTGGATTCATGGTTTGTTCATGGCTATGGCGGGACCCGGGATTCAATTGACAATTAGGGTTTAGGGTTTCGGGTTTCGGGTCGATGCCCCATAACTGTTGTTTGCGGCTTCACGTAGGTCACGTGTCCTGGAAAATCGAGGATGGCAGATTAACCTAGTAGCTGAATGAGTACCCTTTACACTTTTTTCGGGTACTAAACCCTAAACCCTAAACCCTAAACCCTAAACCCTAAACCCTAAACCCTAAACCCTAAACCCCATATCGAACTGAAGGTGTCCACCTTTTGGGGGGCGGTTATGAAGGCAGCGGCTCTGGGAAGCCTGTTTGCCTTGGGATCCTGAAGCAGAGCTGACAGGGATCAGCCGCGGGCCCCGGAAACTTCGGATCCCTTCTCAAGAACATGGCTTCGGGTGATTTTGGGGTCTGGGGGATTTGGGTTTAGGGTTTAGGGTTTAGGGTTTGGGTTTAGGGTTTAGGATTTGGGGTTTGGGAGGGTTTAGGGACTTCGAACATACGCCTCCCCTCCCCTGTTCACTCGTGGTAGGTGCTGAGTAAAGGCAACCTGCTCTGCCACTACGTTGGGGAAGCTGCTTTCTGGAAACGTTGTCGGCGATGTTTACAGCAATAGATTGCGGACAGGCATATTGAAAGTACTTGTATATCTATATATATATATATATATATGACCATCTATATATATATATATATATTTTTGTTTATTTATTTTATTCATTTATTATTTACATATATATATATACATTAATATAGATACATATTCATATGTTTATCTGTATATGTGTATATTTCTTCCTATCGATAGGTTGTATATAAATTTTGAGGAGACAAAGTGCATGGTGGATGGGTCTATTGAGTACCCAGACCCCTGGAAAATCCAAAAAGTAGATCCCCACCGCTGCAAGGGTTCCTAAGAATGACCCAACAGTCGTCTAGGGTACTATTTTGGGGGCTCTACTTTTTTTGATCCTTCCTTGGGGGACCAAATGAAGCCCCAAAATTGGGGCCATTTTCCCTATACTACTATAATGCCTGTGAAGGCATATGAACCCTAAACCCTAAACCCTAAACCCTCTTAGGGTTTATTTCGTCCCCAGGGGTCTGGCTATGCGTTTCATTTTTCTGTTAAAACTTGGAGGCAGCGCTGCTCCCGCCAGCCCTGGCGTCTGGTTGCGCCTCGGCTCTTGGGGTCCTAAACCCTAAACCCTAAGCCCTATATCCTAAACCCTAAACCCTAAACCCTAAACCCTAAACCCCAAACAACCCTAAACCCTAAACCCTGACTTCAAGCTCGCATTCTGGGACCTCTTGGTAATGGCCCACAAGCGCATCTCATTCGGGGTAAGGGGCTAGCGTGCATTCTTTTCTGGCGAAGGCAAGGCTTGGGTTTAGGGCTTTGATGCAACTAAGGAAGAAGCACAGGATGCGGAGAACAAGCTTAAGAGTTCCTGGGTTTAGGGTTTAGGGTTTAGGGTTTAGGGTTTAGGGTTTAGGGAGCTTCGGCGGATGCTGGTACGTAATGTTTAGACGCGCTTTGCGTGTAGTGCGCGAGAATGGGGTCCGAAACCCTGAGCATCCTACACACGCAAGACCCACAGCACCATTCCCTAGGCGCATGCGGTCGGTACAGCAAGGGTTCTCTGGAAGGATCCTTCCAGCAAGACAAACCCTAAACCCTAAACCCCTATAAACCCTAAACCCTAAACCCTAAACTGCAAGACTCAGGCAGGCCGGGCCACGCCGGCAAAATGAACACAAACATTTTGTGTGCCTCTCAAGCTCACGAATGCACGCAGGAGATGTCAAGGGAGCGGCATGCGCGTGTGTGTGTGTGTATGTATGTATGTATATATATATGTCTATATATATATATATGTACATACAAGCCACATGTACCATGCATTATGCATGCACACAGGCCGCAGGTATATACCTTTGGATATTCGTATGCTCGTATCAATCCATCCATATCTACCTACCAGTCAGAATTATTCACAAGCAACGCGCAACAAAAACTCACGAACCAGGCTTGTCGCCCTGAGCCTACCTCTGTCCATCGCAGCCAAGCATGTGCGAAGATTGCAGCGAGTGCGGCTTGCAGGAGATAGTTGCTACAGAAGTTGCCTGCCGGCATTTGGAGGAGGCAGTGGCAGAGCTTCATGCGCGACTTCATGACCAGAGCCAGGAGGAGGCTCTGAAGCTCCTGCAGCAGCACGTGGCAGCTGCGCGGGCGGAGCGCGAGCAGGCGGCTGCAGAGTTCCCACCGGCACAGCGGGCGCGCTGTCGAGCTCAGGCACTTCTGCAGCAGAACAGCAAGGAGCTTGATCAGATTCAGGCAAGCATCGCGCAGGAGGAGAAGGACACGCTGGGTATTCGCCGAAGCTTGGAGAAGTTGCACGATCAGATCCAAGCAAAGCAGAGACACAAGGCTCCAGCATTATCATGCTGCTGATTTTTTCTTGAAGATTTTTGAATTTAGGGTTTAGTAGGGTTTGGGGTTTAATCGATGTTGAGACGAATCGTGCTTACGATGCCGCGACACAGTGATCGACCTAAGGAGAGATTGAGAAGCGCCGGGAGGGCATGGACTTGTTCCGGAAGGAGGAGGTTCTGCTCCTGCAAGAGATGGAGTCTCGGACTTTTCCCCCCAGGGGTTTGCAGGGTTGAGGGTTTAGGGTTTAGGGTGTTCAGGGTTCCCCAAATGAAGGACGCCCATGTTAAGGGACACCATGTAACTGCCCCAAAAGTGTAGGATTCTCCATTGAAGGGCCCCCATGTTAAGGGACACCATGTTAACTGCCCCAAGATCTTCCTTTTCGGTATCGACCTTGCATGCCGGGCTACCCCAGGAGTCATGTCGACAGAGGACGGATGCCGAGCATGCGGAACAGGCGCCCGGTTTAGGGTTTAGGGTTTAGGGTTTAGGGCCCGGTTGCAAGGGCAGGGGATCTGGGGGGGATGCGTGCTGTAAACTCTACACCCACCCTGGGCTCATTCATGGGTTCCCTACTACCCCCGTAGGTTTTCCCCCGGTACTGAAAGCTCTATCGGGATAATTAAGCCTAGCTACGGCTATTTACGGGGGGAACCTGGGGGGGTAGTAAGAGGGGAGTAGTAGGGAAAACCATGACTCATCCAGCGTGTGTACAAGGGATTCGAGCCTCCATCCGGAGCCCGGACCGTATTGTGTGTTGTGGATATTTACCTGGGACCCTCTTTGCCTACAGTTTTAGGGGTCATACCTACTACATAGGGGGTACTTGCTACTTATCCGTAGGAAGAGCTGCATCAGGCCTTCTCTGAGCATAGTCATTGAAATTATTTGGTGCTGCACGGGTGAGCCTTTCCAAGTGTGACCCCTATACGGAAACAAAATTCGAGCCCTAAAAGGGTTTATGGTTCGTACACCTTGTAGTAGAGGGTAGACGGCCCCAATTTTGGAGTTCATCTGGTCCCCAGGGCACTCAGAACCCTCAACCCTCAACCCTCAACCCTAAACCCTAAACCCTAAACCCTAAACGCGAGAACCCTCCTCTACCAGGAGACGGTGGCGCAGCAAGTGGCCGATGAGCGCACCAAGCGCATGGAGCTGAAGGGTGCGTGCCGGCACAAGATCAGCCAAGTGGACTCTCGGCCAGGTTTCTCTTGTTCCTTAAGGGGGTTTAGGGTTTAGGGTTTAGGGTTTAGGACCCTGCAAGGGTCTTGGGGTTCATGTATCCCTTATGAGGGATGAGAGTTGTGCAGGGTAGGCGATCCGAATGTTCGGATACATTGGTCCCCGAGGTAGGGCAGCTACAGTTTGCTTTCTGATTTCCCCTCACTGAGTTTTAGCACAGAAAGGCGTCCATGCTAGCTCCATGAAAGCATAACCCTGTAAAGGATCCTGCGACCCCTCGAGCAAAACCCCCCCTAAACCTGCAAGCCTCCAAACTCTACTGCGCTCCCCTAAAATCCTCAACCCCAGATTCCCAAAACCCCTAAAACCCTAAGCCACGAAACCCTAAATCCTGAACACTAAACCCGAAACCCTACAGCCGAATTCCAAAACCCTAAACCCCTAATTTACTGCTGAGAGTCCCCTAAGATCCTGCAGGCCAAAACCCTAAACCCCTGAACCCCTCTAGTTTGATGGCTGAGAGGAGGAACCCAACCCTAAGCCCTTCTATTTAATGGCTGAGAGTTCAGGAGGAACCCTAAACCCTAAACCCTAAACCCTACACCCTACACCCTAAACCCTAAACCCTAAACCCTAAACCCTAATTTAAAACTGACAGCCCAGGAAGAGGCCGTGGCCAAGCTCCAGGGGCTCGCTGACTCCCGCGAGGCGGAGATCGCCAGGCTGCGCGAGGCAGGGGTTTAGGGGTTAGGGTTTAGGGTTTAGGGTTTTAGGGTTTAGGGTTTAGGGTTCAGGGTTTTGGGGTTTAGGGTTTGCGGATTTGCGGCGGGTTTGCGGACAAGGGGTTATAAAGGATCTATGGGGATTTAGTGCTTTCGGGTTTGCAGAGTTTAGGGCGAAGCCCTGTAAACCCAAAAGCCTCAACCCTGAACCCGAAACCCCAAACCCTAAACCCGAAACTCAACACCAGGAGGTTCAACAGCAGGAGAACGCCACGGCCGCCGTCCTGGCAGAGCTTGCTCAGAGCAAGGCGCGGCTGGTGTCGTCTGGGATGCAGAGTACAGGGATCTGTCCGCCTACACTAGACCCTACCCAACGGAACCCTAAGAAGGGCTTAGGGTTTAGGGTTAAACTAAGCGTGTAGGAGTCAGGATTTGAGGGCCCAAATAGCCCGACTTTGTTTGACGTCTCACTGCCATAAACCTACACAAATGAGTTCTTAAGGTAGGATTTGCCCACTCCTTACCTGTTGTTCTTCCGCTGGCGCCTTTGCAAGTTTCTCATCAGCTCATGTTATCGCCCTAATAGCAGCTATACAACGCCGAACAAGTCAATAGGCTTAGGGTTACAAGCCTTTACTTGCCAAGCTAAGCCTTCTGGTTCTTAGTAGGGAATGAGGGAAATACAAAGGTACCTTATATCCCCCTGTACGTACGCTTTTTAAAGGGACTATGTAGGGTACCTCCCTCTTCCCCTGCGAAGAACCAGCAAGTGCGTTCCCTGATCAGTCAATCGCGTTAACCAGGAGGATGCCCAACAAGCAGCCGCAGAAGCGGCGGACGCCCTGCAAGAGAAGCAGCTCATCCACGTGGAGCGCACGGAGGCGCGAAGGTTTTACATGCCCAGGGCACCAGATGAAGGAATCATAACATTGGGGTCATATACCCTGTACTACGAAAAAGCCGATTAAGGTATATGAACCCTAAACCCTTTTAGGGCTCCTGTCGTCCCCGAGGAATGCTCAACAGATCCTAAGCGAACCGTAAGAACCCCTGCTCAGACGTTTCGGGAGCTTTAAGAAGTCATGGACCTGAAATAAGGCCAGGTGTTTCCTTGCTCATAGCTGGGTAAAACCCACCTAAGGAATAAGCAATTGATTTTTTACATATGATCCCAACCATGGACCATGAACTAGTTTCGAGCAGGTAGGAGGCTCCTGGGCCTGGCCTGGATTTTGACTTCTCCTGATTGGTACAGACTGCGGGGCCCCCCCTCTTTGGAACCCTAAACTGCCCTAAACCCTAGAGCCCTGAGCCCTCGACCCTCCTCCTAACTATGCCCTTGACCTCGAACTTGTCTTAACAAGCCCGAAACCGGCAGGGTTTAGGGTTTAGGGTTTAAAGTTTAGGGTTTAGAGTTTAGGGTTTAGGGTTTCTTTTTTTGGGTTCAGGGCCATCCCAGGTCCAGCAGCGGCATGGGGAGCTCCTGGCGCACCTCGCCGACTCCAAGCAACAGCTCGAGGCGAAGACGAAGGACCTCGGGAGCTCCCCCCCAGATCGAGCTTCGGATATGGGGGGGGGGGGGTTAGGGTTTAGGGTTTAGGGTTTAGGGTTTAGGGTTTAGGGTTTAGGGTTTAGGGTTTAGGGTTTAGGGTTTAGGGTTTAGGGTTTAGGGCCGTTTAGGGTTTAGGGTTTAGGTTTAGGCTTCCGAAATAGAAGGGTTTAGGGTTTAGGGCTTGGGGTTTAGGGTTTAGGGTTATAGAAACCCACATGGTAAGATTCCCTTATAGTATTGGGGTCCTAATTTCGGAAACACCCATACGGTGCAGTCGTGAACGGATCGCTCCAACCCGTAACTGCATACATGGTCACTTCTCTATATTGTGGCCCTTTTTCGAGAGGTTGCGATTCTAAGGCGGCCCCCTAGGAGAAAGGGACCCCAAAAAGGGACCATCCATTTGAGAGCTGCATCTATATATATATATATATATGGGCGTCCGCCTATTGCGGTTCCCCTTATTTGTTTATAGGTTGCATAAATGTATATATTTTAAACCCTAAACCATCGTCATAACCACGGCAACAAGTCGATGATGATGTAGGCACCCCAAACCTATAGGGTTAAGTTTGACAGGTTTAGGGCTTAAGATTGAGGCATTTAAACGTAAGCCCGCAATGAAACCTAAACCCTAACCGTTCAACCCGATAGAGTTAAGGTTAAGCGGTTAGGGTTTCAGATTTAGGTATTTTTAAGCTTTAAACCTAAACCCATAGAGATTTAACCTTAAGGGTTTAAAGTTCGGGCATTTAGACCTTAACCCTGATTCGTTTAGGGTCAGAACCCTAAAGCCCGATAGGGCTCTACAAGGAACAAAGGTTTTGACCCTAAAGGGTGCTGAAGGTATACATGCCCAGACCTTAGGTCTTCTTGAACCATTGAACCCTACAAGGTTTAAAGGCTTAGGGTTAAAGGGTTGGGCATTACCAATACAATAGAACCTTAAAGCCCTATAGGGCTTCGGGCTTAAATCCCTAAACCTTAAATCCCATAGGGTTATGCCTACGTTTGTAGGGCTTTCGTCCCGGTGACGCGAGAATACTGTGAGCAAACGTCCTTTCACTACTTCCTGGGATTCAAAATATACACAAACCATATCGTCATATGATAGAATTCAGGTTTTGCTTATCGGGGGATGGTTGCTTGGGATATCTTAGCCTAGGCAAAGTTTTTAGGATAGAGGCTTTGTTTTGCTTATTGGGGCGTGATGGGGTTACCCTCATTGTCTTATAGTTTATTTACATGGATATAAATCAAACCCGGAACCCTAGTTATAACCGCAGCAAAAAGTTATAACCTTGTCATATACATACATCCGCAGAGCTCGTCAAATCCGGTCATGATGTAGGCGCCCCAACCCTATAGGGTTAAGGTTGACAGGTTCAGGGTTTAAGATTGAGGCATGTAAACCTAAGCCGGCAATTCAACCTCAACCCGAACCTTGAAACCCTATAGAGTTAAGGTTTAAGGGGTTAGGATTTAGGATTTAGGTATTTAAAACGAAAACTCAAAGAGTTTCCACCTTAAGGGTTTAAAGTTCGGGCATTTAGACCTTAACCCTGATTCGTTTAGGGTCAGAACCCTAAAGCCCGATAGGGCTCTACAAGGAACAAAGGTTTTAACCCTAAAGGGTGCTGAAGGTATACATCGAACCATTGAACCCTATAGGGTTCAAAGGTTTAGGGTTATTAGGGTTTAAGGTTTGGGCATTAATTACCTATACAATAGAACCACCCTATAGCGCTTGAGGCTTATATCCCTAAACCTTAAATCCCATAGGGTTATGCCTACGTTTGTAGGGCTGTCGTCCCGGTGACGCGCGAATACTGTGAGCAAATGTCCTTCAAAATAGAAACAAAAAGGATAATTCAAGTTTTGCTTATCGGGGGATGGTTGTTTGAGATATCTTAGGTAAGGTAGAGTTTTCCGGCTGGGTTTTGTTTTGCTTATTGGGGCGTGATGGGGTTACCGTCATTGTCTTATAGGTTTATTTACATGCATATAAATCAAACCCTGAACGCTAGTTATAACCGCAGCAAAAAGTTATAACCTTGTCATACACATATATCCTACTTGCTGGGATTCAACATGTAAGCAAACTAAATCGTTAAATGATGGAATTCAGGTTTTGCTTATCGGGGGATGGTTGCTTGAGATATCTTAGCTAAGGTAAAGTCTTTGGGACAGATGTTTTGTTTCGCTTATTGGGGTGTGATGGGCTTCCCCTTATTCTTATGGGTTTACATAAGTGTATAAAAATCAAACCCCAACCCATAGTTATAAGCACAGCAATAAGTTATAACCTTGTCATATAGATATTTCCGCAGAGCTCGTCAAATCCGATCATGATGTAGGCACCCCAACCCTACAGGTTTAAGGTTGACAGGTTTAGGGTTTAAGATTGAAGCATTTTAACCTAAGCCGGCAATTCAACCTAAACCCTAACCTTTAAACCCTATAGAGTTAGGGTTTAAGGAGTTAGGGTTTAAGGCGCAATCCCATATAGTATACATACACTTATGAGCAGAATGACACGGGGGACACTGCTTGCGATTCAGAATATTCGGAGCAGAAAAGACACAGGGGACACTGCGTGCGAATCAGGCTTTTTAGGAGCAGAAAAGATGCGGACGAGGTACCTCGACAGGAGCACCATTAAACCATTAAACCATTAAACCATTAAACCATTGAACCATTAAACCATTAAACCAATGGTTTCCCCCTTATGAGAATCCCCTAAACTATTAAACCATTGAACCATTAAACCAGTAAACCATTAA